ATCTGCAGGGTAAACCCAAGCCCAGGTCATAACAGATCAGGCACAGGGTCCTTCTGAGACTCCTGCTGCTGGTGGGGGCTGCCCAGAGCCCTGGTTCTGTCTGCAGGAGGGGGAGGGGAAAGCTTCAGAGGGGCACGGCGCAGTCCTTCCTCCTGGCCTGCCTGGTCTTGGGCTTCGTGTGAATCTTTTTTTATAAAATTTCTTTTCATTAAAAAAAAAAGATTTTATTTATTTTTTATTTGAGAGAGAGAGAACACGAGAGTGGGGAGGGTCAGAGGCAGAAGCAGACTCCATGTTGAGCAAGGAGCTCAATGCGGGGCTCGATCCTGGGACCCTGGTATCATGACCTGAGCCGAAGGCAGATGCTTAACCAGCTGAGCCACCCGGGCACCCTTTTTTTTTTTTTTTAAGAAGATTTTCTTCTTTTTTAAGATTTTATTTATTTGAGAGAGAGAGCATGAGCTGGGGAATGAACAGAGGGAGAGGGAGAAGCAGATGCCCGCTGAGTGCAGAGCCCACAACCCATGAGACCATGACCTGAGCCGAAATCAAGAATTAGATCCTTAACCAACTGAGCCACCCAGGCGCCCCCAAATCTCTCTTTTCTGGGATTGCTCTCACTTTTCTCATCTCCCAAACAGAGGAGAACATGGTTTCTCTACCTTTGCAGGGATCAGTCAGGAGCTCTGGCTTCCTTTTCTTAGGGGCAGCCTGGCAGGGTTGGGGGAGAGTCCCTGTTCCACCAGTAGGTTCCTTTTGGTCCCATGGACCTGACTGTGAACTCTGGCATCCAAGCTGCTCAGGGTCCAGCAGAGGGCCTAGGGTTCTGAGTGCTGGGTGCTGGGTGCTAGGTGCTGACAGTACTGGGTAATGTGTGTTGAGTGCTAGGTGCTAAGTGCTATGTACTGAGTTCTGATGGTGCTGGGTTCTGTATGCTAGGTGCTGAGGATACTGAGATCTGGATTCTGGGTGTTGAGTGCTGGTTCTGAGTGCTGGGTGCTGAGGGTGTTGGTTCTGGGTGCTGACAATGCTACATGATCAGTGTTGGGGTGCTATGTACTAGGTGCTGTGGGCTGGGTGCCAGTGCTCAGTGCTGTGTGTCAAGTGCTGGGTCTGGGTGTTGAGTGAGCTGCGTGATGGGTGCTGGGTGCCAGTGCTCAGTGCTGGGTATCGAGTGCTGAGTCTTGGTGTTGAGCAAGCTGCATGCTGGATGCTGGGTGCCAGTGCTCAGTGCTGCGTGTCGAGTGCTGGATCTGGGTGTTGATGAGTTGCATGCTGGATGCTGGGTGCTGGGTGCCAGTGAAGACTGGGACTCAGGAGGTTGGGGCCCAGGCCAGGCAGCTGGCTAAGAGCAGCTCTGACAGAACCTATAGGTGGGCTGGTGTCCACATCTTTGACTTCTGGCGCCATTGGCTGTCCCTGACCCCACCGCAGGATGTGGCAGTGGGTCTTGGCGGAAAGGACCAAGCCCGTTCGGAGCTTTGTTTCCTACGTGGGGAGGGGAGCTTCATCAGGGCAAGATGCTGTCCACTGTATGCCCCCCAGGCTGTCTTGGCCCCAGGCCTCTGCCTTCACTCTGCCCCCCCCATGGTCTGAGAGTTGCCCAGCAAGGCCCACGGGCCTGGGGGCTCCTGGGAGAGGCCGGAAGAGCAGTGCTGTGTGCTTGTGGTGGGAGGAGGCATCAGGGACAAGCAGAAGCTCCTTCATCAGAAGACGTGGGGTGGTCTTGGAATACCTTCAGCACACGGCTGGCCTGGGGCCCTCAAGGCTCCTCAAGGCTGCTGGCACCATCCTGCACTTAGCTTTCCTTCAGAAGGAAGGTTCTGGAAATATAGATGACCACCCCAGGCTTTGTGCCTGGCCCACGGGGGTGAGAGAGAGCAGCCCTCTTTGCCCAAGACCCGTGTTGGCGTCAGTTCCCCTGTCCTGTCTGTTCAAGTAGATGTCCTGCCCAGCAGAGCCCACCCTGTACTTGGGGTTCCTATCAAGGCGGAGACATCATGAAGGGTCCCTGAGGCTCAGGGCCAGGCGGTGTGGGGCCGTCCCTGGCCCTTGTCCCTGGCAGCAGGTGAGGGGTCGAGGGCAGTGACCCCAGGGCCCATGGCTGTGGTGTCCTGCATCACGGCAACACCGGTGAGTGGGTGGCCGTGAGTGGCAGAGCGGCTAAATGGAAGGATGGATCCATGACAATGACAGCCATCCTGGAGCTGGGTGGCCATGCCATCTATCCCCAGATGTGGCTCTGTGTGGGCTCACTATGGGGCGTTTTCATCTCGCTCTTGTCTCCTTTGGGCTCCCAAGACCAGATGTTCTCACCTGTCACCTGGCTCCACAGGCCCTGGGCCCTGGGTACCCCACCCCCACCCCCAGGAGGCATGGAGCCTCTGGTGGTTACTGAGGCTGAGGAGAGGGGGACTTTGTTCATGGCAGGAGGAAAATCTCCAGACAGCTAATAAAGGCTTACAAAAACCACAGAAGGCATGGACAGGCAGAGAAGAGGAGATCTGGGTCCTTCCAAGCACGCACAGAAACCCGAGGGGCCTCGCAGACCATCATGGGCGTGCTTTCAGTGCAGCCGCTCCGGTTGGAGGCTAGCAGGCTGCATCTGTGGGTCACCCTCCAGCCATTAGGCCCAGGCCCTGAGCTCCATGGCAGCAGGGTGAGATGGGGCCCCCAGTGTCTGGTGCCGCCCTTCCTAAGGGCATGGTGGGGGGTACCCAGGCTTTGCACCCAGCGCTCAGGAGAGGCTCAGCTCTGGGCCAGCAAGGACCGTGAGTTTTGACCTTGAGCAGCAGGCTGAGGGCAGGAGATGCAGTGGCCCCGTGGCCCATGGCAGGCTTCATTTCTCCCCAAAAGCTCATTCGTTCCTTGACCAGGTTGGCTAGGAGAGTCCAAGCTCGCCCCTCCTCTCTGGGGCAAGGGGGTGGGCATCCAGTGAGGGGGGCCCTGCCACAGCAGGTAGGCGCCATGGCGGTCACGGATCCGACCTCTGCCAGCTTCACTCACACCTTCCTAAAATGCTTTCGTGTTGTTTAACTTATTTTATCTTAATGGATGGACTAAGTTTTCTTTTTAAAAGCCTGCTGCAGGTTTTGGAAACTATGGGCACTTCCAAAATGTTATTTAAGCTCTAATGACCATGGGCCAGAATGATACGGTGTACCGGCAGCCCTCGTCCATGTTGTTCCTGGAGTTCCGGGCCCCCCTGGGCCCTCCCTATGTCATGCCCACCTTTGGGCCTTGGGATGTGGATCCAGGGGACTAGGGTTGCAGTAGGTCCTGTTAATATAGAAAGGATATTTTGATCTTTGCATTCAACTTTGTAAGAGATAGTTACACGTATTTATTTTTTAACATGAAAGTGTGTGCTTATTGTGGGGAATTGAAATAACACAAGAATATGAAAAAGTGGTAGGGAAATTTTAGATGGCACTTGTTAGAATCGCTCATTACTTTACTTAAAAGTACTTTTTCAAGGAGGGATGCCTTCGGATCTATTTCTAATTTTAAAAGACTCTGCAAAGTCCTTTATGCTGTTGGTTATTAGAACTCGTTCAAGAGGGTCAGCAGGTTAACCCCAGCAGGGTACTAACCTGGCAGGGTGACTGGTTTCAAGTGGGGTTCAGTGGGAAACACTGGCGTGTCACTCTCTTGCCCCCAGAAGGGGGGTGAAACCTGTCCCTTCAGCTGGAGGGCTGCGGGGTCGGCCTGGACTTCACTCTGAGTTCAAGGCACCGTCTTCAGATAGTTCCAGGGCTCCCCCATCCTCCTGACAGAGGCGTGGGGTGACGGTGTAATTTCATCCCGACTGAACGGGATAATACGGAGTCAGCCCACGGGTGCTGTCCCTGCGTGCATGCCTCCCTCTCTGCTCCTCATCGTGTGCTCACTGGGATCAGCTCAGACGTTATTGGACGGGGGGCGGGGGGGCACCGAGCTCTCGCAAACCTCCTGCCCCGTGCTCCTTATGTGGCTGTATCAGCCGCGGGGCTGGTACCATCGTGAGCACGTAAACAGTGTCCCTGATGAGCCAGGCGGGGCAGTGCAAATACACTTCTTTCTTAGAAAGTCTTTGGTCTGCCCCATTGCTAACATAGGGCTCATTTTCCATTTGCCTAATTTTCTGTGGATTGTTTCTCAGGCTTTCCACACCAGCAAAACAGCCCTCCCCACAACACTTGGGTGCAGTCAACAGTCCCAAATGGACTGGTTGCTGTGTTTCCTCTGGAGAAGCTGCCCCAGGACCCTGGCACCTCACACTTGCTCCCACAGGCCCTGGTTGCTGCTTAGGCAGTCACTGGACCCCGGCTGGGTCCTTGGGAGCTTTCTGTGATGGTGCAGACAGGGAGTCTCTGTCTTGTGCCTTCACGCGTGGTTGGTTACAAATAACATTTTAGATTCAAAGAGTTTTGCCCCTCGAATTGTGAAGTTATTTTCCTGTTGTCTCCAGATTCTCAAGTTGCTGTTGAATCATCGATGCTATTCTTATTCCCAGTGCCCTTTATGTGACCTGCTTTTATCTCTTCTCTTGGGAGGCTTGTACGGTTTTTCTCTCCAACCCTGGCATCCCGACGTTTTGGGATTCTCAGGCCCTTCACCTACCCTGGACCTTGATCTCTGTTGCCCCCATGGCTGCCCCACCGAGGGCTCATCCTCCCTGCCTCGGGGACTCTCCTGAGTGGGTTCTCTGCCTTCTTCTGTGCTTCTCTCTTATCTTTCATCTCTGTGTCTCTTATTCTACTCTCTGGGATGTCTCCTCAATTTTATTTCCTAACTCTTCAACAACTGAATTTTTTCTCTCTACATTTATATTTTTAAACTCCAAGAGCTCTTTTGTGTGTTCTAAACAACCCTGTTTAAAGAGTGCCCTGGTCCTCGGTCCTCTCTCCTTTCTGGGGCCCTCCAGCCCCTGATTTGGGAGCTGCCTTCATGGTGGAGGCTTTTCTTGGCTGTGCGTTTGTCTTTCCGAGTGTGCTACGAATGCCTGTCTGCCTGTCTCATGTGCTGCAGGGGACCCTGGGCTGCCCTGTGGGACACACACGTGTGTATGATGGGATACCTTGGGGTCCCCAGGTATTGGGGTCTTTAGGTCTTGTGCAGATGTCTAGTTCCACTTCTCTAGAAGTGGACCGTGTGTGGCGGGACATCAGGGTCTGCAGCAGGGCAGTGGACGGGGGCCTGGGGGGGGTCTTCTTTATCTGGAAGCAGAAGTCCACTGAACCCGCTTTGGAGCTGGACCATCACCTCTGTCGCTGGTGCCTGCATCTGTGGGGCCTGGTTTGGCTTCCCCAGGGACATGACTCCTTGATTCCCCCCTGCGGCTTGGGCAGTGGACTCCGGAGCAGGGAGCCCAGGTCCTCCGTGCAGACCCCAGCCCAGCCCGTGCCCCCCCGCCCTGCGACCCCACAGGCACCTCAGGCTCCGTGGGCGGATCTGCATCCCAGTGGCTCCCTCTGCTCAGGGGGCTGCCGTGTCGGCCATCCCCCCTGTCGGACCTCAATCTCTCATCTCCTCTGCTGTCAGACCTCGTGTAGTTATACTTATAAATGTCTTTACTCCCGTTTCTGGAGGTGCAGAGAGGGGTGTTCCATCATCACGTTTAACCAGCCTCGATGCACCGTCCCCGCATGGGCACGTGTGTGAACCTGGGCACGCGGCCCTGGGTGATTGGAATCAGCCTGGTGTCGGGTCGCCTGGTGTGAGCTTGGTTCTCGGCTGTCGACTTGACTGACACTGACCCGTCATCACGGGATCTACCATCAGATTTACTGCCTTCCTTCCATGAACCGGACCCGCAGATGGGATCTGTCTTGATGAAGCTCACACTCGAGTCTGGGGACCAATCAGCAAACATGAAGTCGGGTGCCGTGGCTGGCAGGGACAGGTGCCTGGCAGCTGTAACTCCCAGCAGGCGACCGGTCTTCAGGGCAGCCTGGCAGACAGATGGATGTGTGGGTGCTGGGATTGCAGGAGGGGTGACCTCTTGGAAGACTGTTGCATCCTCGCTGAGGGGAGTACAGACGGTAGAAAGGTGTGCAGAGCTGAAATCCTTCTGACACACCTTCCCTGCCTGCTCTTTGCAGAGACCCCACAGATCTGTGTCCCTGATGAGCTGGGTAATGTTCCCCACCTGGGATTTCCTCAGCTAGTGCAGGTTGACCAGATAAAATGCTCTCGTTTTAAATTAATTTTTAATTTTAACTTTAATTCATCTTTCATTTATTCAGTGCAATTTTTGATATCTTGTAGTTGCCATATTTATGATCTGTACATCTGAGGTGAATGTCCTGTTATTTACTAACCCTTTCTGTGCTTTTAGCTTTGCCATTTAACTCTGTGGCGTCTGGGTGTCTCTTCCGCGTGTTCCTGTAGGCTGGGCAGGGCTTGGGGGGTGGAGTTTCCTCGTCGTGGGCTGGGGCTTCCCTCTTCCTGGCGCGTCTGGTACTTTTTCACTGGATGCCAGACATTCTGAGTTTCACACTGTTGGGTGCTGTATATTTTTGTTTTCCTAAATATATTCGTAAGCTTTTTTCCAGATGTGGTCAAGCTGCTTAGATACTCAGATTCTTTCCTGTCTGATTTTGGGGCTTCATTGAGCGGGACCAGATCCACCCTTAGTGTGCGGGTGCTTCCCCCACAGCCCGGCTGTCTGTTTTTCCTGTGCTGACACGCAGGTGCACCGGCATCCATGGCCTTTTCTGCTCTGGCTATTGGAGCTCTCTCGTTAAGGGGCAGAGATTGTCAAATTGGGTAGAAAGTCAAGACCCAACTTTATGCTACCTAAAAGAAACTCACTTTAAATATAAAGGTGTAAAAAGTAAAAAGATGGACGAGACAAGCCATGCTAATTTTGATCAAAAGAATGCTGGAGTGCACATTGTTAATATCATACAAAGTCGATTTCAGAGCAGAGACTATTACCAGGGTTGAAGAAGTTTCTCTCCTGTGACAGAGATGCCGATGGATCAGGAGGGCCTAACAGCCTCAACCGTTTCTACCCCGAATTTGAGCTTCAAGGTGCGTTCGTGAAAACAGACAGGTAGTTTACATGGCAAACAGACAAATTCCCAGGTTGAGGTGGGGATACTCAGTAGTTGCTGGAACAGACAGAAAAGTGGCAAGGACGTATGGGACTGAACAGCACCATCCGCGGCCCCAAGCTGATGGATTTCGGGGGACAGTCCCAGCGAGGCTGGAATATGCATTCTTCCCAGACACACAGAGCAGGTACGAGCCTGGACCGTGTTCAGGGCCATAAAACAAGTCATAGTGAATGTGGAAGATCTCAGTCACGCAGTCAGTTCTCTGACTGCAGCGGGTGGAACAAGAAACAGATAACAGAAAGATATCTGGAAAGTCCCCCCAAATACTTGGAAATGAAACACCACACTTCTAAACAACCCATGGGTCTGAGAAGCAATCTAAAGGGAAATTAGAAAGTATTTTAAACTGAGGGGCTCTGTTGGTACAATGTCTGTCTTTGGCTCTGGTCATGATCTGGGGTCCTGGGATCGAGCCCCGAATCAGGCTCCCTGCTCAGTGGGGAGCCTGCTTCTCCCTCTGCCTCTGCTGCTCTCCCTGCTTCGGCACGTACACGCATGCGCACTCTCTCTCTCTCTGACAAATGAATAGATAAAATCTTTTTAAAAAAGGATTGTAAACTGAATGGAAATAAAATAAAAATTTCTGGGATTCACGAAAGCTGTGTTTAGAGGGGAATGGGGGGAAAAGAAAACCAAAAACTACCTCTTTAAGATAAAGTCAAACTTGTATCCAAAATCTATAAAGAACTCTTGCTGTCCAGTAAGAAGACCAGCAACCCAATTAAGAGACAGACAGAAGCTCAAGGCCATGGACATTAGTGCTTGCCTTGCAAGTGGACCAGGCTGGGAAGTCAGGGTCAGCTCAGAGGTGAGGAGTCATGCTGCTTCCAGCTGCCCTAGACATGATGTGTTGAGACAGGCACCCAGCACTGGGGTCCTCCTCCCCAAACCCAGAACCTCAGTCCAGTCTTAAGAAGAACATCAGACAGGGGCACCTGGGTGGCTCAGTGGGTTAAAGCCTCTGCCTTCGGCTCAGGTCATGATCCCAGGGTCCTGGGATCGAGCTCCGCATCGGGGTCTCTGCTCAGTGGGGAGCCTGCTTCCTCCTCTCTCTCTCTCTGCCTGCCTCTCTGCCTACTTGTGATCTATCTGTCAAATAAATAAATAAAAATCATTAAAAAAAAAGAAGAAGAAGAACATCAGACAAATCCTAATTGTGAGACAGAAAATTCCTGAGGTCCTCAGAGCTGTCGAGGTTATCAAATGCAAGGAAAGCCTGGGAAACTGTCAGCCAAGAGGAGCCTAAGGAGATGTCATGTGTGTCCTGGACGATGGAGCAGAAGGGACATCAGGTAAAAACTAAGGAAGTCTGAGCGCAGCATGGACTTCAGTTAGTAATATCATTATCAACGTGGCTCATTAATTGTGACAAATATATCACATTACTGTAATGTGTTAACAGGGCAAACTGGATGCTGGGTGTGTGGGAACTCTCTGTACTTTCTCCAAAAATTTTCTGTAGATTCAAAATAAAAAGTTAATTTTTGAAAGTATGCAAAAGCTTTGAATAGCTATTCCATCAAGAAAGATGTAAAAATAGCAACTAAGCACATACAGAGACACGTCACAGCCTGCTGGACAGTTGAAGCCATGAAGAAAGACAACAGTGCATGTGGGCAAGGTCACGGAGAATACAAACCCTTGCTTGGCGCTGCTGGGGCTTTAATATGGTGCAACCACTTTGGAAAACAGTGTGGCGGTTTCCCAAGGAGAGAGCCCTAAGATACCATACAGCTCAGCAATTCCCTGCCAGGCCTCTGCCCAGGGGAACAGGAAGAACACATCCACACATGGGCAGAGCAATTCAGTCACCAAAAACCCAAACTGGAAGCAACCCAGATATCCCTCAACAGGGGAAGGGAGATGCTGATCGTGTCCATCCGTGTGACAGGCCCCCCCCCTCCATGGTAAGAAGGGACGAGCTGTTGGCATGCATGACGGCACGGGTGGCTCTCCCAGGTACTATGCTCAGGGATGGAAGCAGACCCTGCCTCCCCAGTTACTACCTGTTCTGTGATTCCATTTATACAAAATTCTGGAGAACACACATGAATCTGTAAGAACAGAAAGTAGGTCAGCAGTTGTCTGGGGTGGTTTGGTGGGAGGGATTACAATTATGCCTCCAGAAAACTGTTTTAAAAATGGGTTGTGTTCGTGAGGACACCTGTCTGCAGTGGCGATGCGGTGAGGGCACGTGGGAACCGCTTGCCTGAGGTCCCCACAGCCCCACCCCTGTCAGAGGTAGGACGGGCCTGGGTCAGGTGGCGATGGACAGGCAGGCCAGGGCTCTCAGAAGCCACAGGGCCTCCTCCTGGAGGAGAGCATCAGTGTGCCCTGCTGGCCCCTAGCCTTGAGGGTGGAGGGACAGGGCCGGCTGCCCAGTGTCAGTCCATCTGTCTGTCCATCCGTGGGAGACGAAGGCAACGTCAGGTGCCAGGCTACCCGAGGGGCCTCAGAGCTGCTGTCACAGCTGTGGCACGGACGGCATCAGGATCCTCCCAGTTTTCTAATATAGAACCAACTTTACTTCCCTACAAGGGACCCCACAGATAACAGATTCTGTTTTCCTGTAGAATTCTGCAAGAAAGGCCAGCTTCCCTTCCCTAAGCCCGCCTCTGGTTTAGCATTTCCCACTGTTGCAGGGGGAGCTGGCCCACTGCTCTCTCTCCGTGCCAATTTTTGGCATGACTCTTATGTGGATTTCACAAAAATAACCTGGGGAATTTCCTTCTTTTTTCTCCTTTCCAAGAACATTTTAAATATCATTGGAATTATCTTTCTTGAATGTTTGAAAGAATCCATCTGTGAATTCTTAGACACAGTTCCCCATTTTTGACATTTTTTAGAAAATCTGCTTCATTCACGTTTTCCAACGTATTAGGATATAATATATTATTTGGTCGTATTAATGTC